CCTGTGAACCCTGTCCCCCCCCCCCCTTCCATTCTCATGTTTTTCTGTCCATCATTTTTAGTCTGACAAGTTGCAGTCACCCATTTATCTTCCAGGTTTCATGAAAGAATGTTAATGTTGTCTTGTAGGCGATTTTTCTTCTCAGTATTTGGAAGCCCCTAAGATTGCAGTGCCTGAAGATGTAGCATGTGTAGTTCATATATAAATCCAGCACTGCGTTCGTTGCTTTATAATCTGGACTACTCTCATTGTCATGAAATAAGTAAATTCATTAATTAATATTATGTTGTGCTGTATCTTCAGTCTCTAGTATTTTGCGGGTTCAAAATATTTGTCATGTCATATATAGAATGCTACTGGCTTCACTCTAAATCATCTGTCATGGAGACTCACTTATAATGTAATTATTGTGTTGTGCAGCTCACCAAGTTTAGTGTTCACTGGAGCACTGTTTCACAACTGGTAATTAACAGACTATTGTCAGGCTCTGTTTTCATTTATGCAGATCTGTAAACAAACTCTGGTTACATTTATATTATGTATATTATACCATGTCTTGAAAATTACCATTTTACAACCAGCAAATAAATTAGATATGTAAAATATTAAAATATTTCTACTGTTATATGTGAGACATGTAGGGTACTGATACTTAGAAAACCTCTCATGGCTTCACAATCTCTGAATTTGAAAGGGTTCAGAACTACTGCTTTGAAGGAGCACTATTTCCAAGTGCTCACGTCAGAAATGATACTGATTTTGAAGTTAATTTGCAGTTCCAGAGAAAATTTGGCTGCTGGATGAATTAGATGAAGCAGAAGTTCGCCTTCTTGAGGTTAAAATGGACCGTGATGTGGATGGCGACAGATGGTGGGAGCATGAACCATTGACATGGCTTGATCTGAGTTCAAACTGCATCACCGAAATATCTTCTAAAATATGTAATCTTGTTACATTAACCGTATTAAATGTAAGCAAGATGTTCCGATTTGTATTGAAGACTTAATTGCTTGCAGTAATGTATTTGACATGCTTTTTATAGATTGTATTTAACATCAAAAAACCTGAAAAGTTTGTATGATTTGAAAGAGTGCCCAATGTGTTTCAAGAAACTGGCGTTATAAGATATGTGAACTAATACTCAGTAGTACAAAGCAGAAATTCAGTGTAACTATTACCAAAGCCTGCTTTTAGAAATAATCCCATGCCAGGTTCATCCACCTACCACCCATACAACATATTTCCATTAGAACAGTCTCAGAGTTGTCCTTCCAACTCCTCAGTCAGAAGAACCCTATTTCCACCAGATTTCTGCACTAAAATTCTGGATGCATTTGACACCTCTGTCAGAGTTACATGCATAATCCCATGATCACCTCAGTTTAATCATCCTAACAATAATGTGCACTGTGTGTAAGTCACAAAATTATTTGCTGTTTAATATTCTGATTTGACCATGTCAGCCCTGTTGGATATATAGTATATTTTGCTTAGAACTTTGTTTTTGGATGCCTATAATTTATGTTCATCCTCCATAAAGTAAGAGGCCATTTTTCAGAGCCATATCAGACAATCTACAAAATAATTGTGCTGACCACGGGACACCCTCTATCCCCAAAAGTTGGCGCTAACTTTGCCGACAAATGGCAGTTGCTCAGTTGGTATAGTTTGGTTGCAGACTACGTGCCATGGATTTTTTTTTTGTTTTGTTTTATATATATTTGTATTTTGGACATAATACTGTTGTCAGAATTGCTTGTGAATGTATAAGTGTATCATTTATGTGTCTTACAGGATAGATTACTTCCCTTTGCCCTGTAGTTTGAAACCAAGGTGTGCATCAACTAATAACTGAAGTGTAGTGAAATTAAATACACTATATCATATAATAATTGATTGATTGGACATTATCCATTGTCATTTAATGTTGATCTGTGTGTAGGTAGTGGCCTTGCGACGAGCTGGTCACCCGTCCAAGGAGTCCTAACAACTGTGAACAGGATTAAGAAACTGAAAAGCGGCCAAAAGCCCACAAAGTCAGTAATTGTAGTAGTGTACCATCATCATGAATGTTCAGGTCTTATTTAAACTGCATAACTTTTTATCTTATTTGCATATCTACTGTATACAGCTTCACAACAATAATCTGGACAGGATTCCAGCAGAGTTGGGTTATCTGACCAAGTTAACACGGCTGAACCTGAGTCATAACAAATTGTGCACCCTGCCATCTACATTCTTCAAGCTTTGCGAGTTACGTTCACTTCAGCTTGCTCACAATCAGTTGGAAGTTATAACTGATGATATAGGAGATTTAGTCATGCTTGAAAATTTGGTAAGCGTAATTAATTTATATTTTAACATAAGTGATTTTTTTTTTTGCTCCAGATCTTGTTTGTAGTCGTAGCATGTCCAGTCATTATAATTTTCAAAATACATGGTGTAGGACAGTGGTTATTGACATTTTTGTAATTATGGTGGTGAAATTGATGCTGTACATATTTCAGATTATAAATTGGGTGCTAAATTTTGCAGAAAAAATTTGAAAAAGGGTGGTGTATATATATATATATATACACATATATACAAGACCTGAAATTTTCTACCATAAATACTGTAAGGAACAAGATTCGGAAATTGTGGCTATTCAAATAAAAATAAATAAGGATAAGATAATTACATTCAACATATACAGAGCTCAGTCAGGTAATTTTGATTACTTTCTTAATAAACTAGACGTTATACTTAATTCCTTCTACAGACATAATTTGGAATTTATAATATGTGGTGATATTAATATTACTTATATGGAAACTAGTAGCAAAAAACCCACTTAAATGACATGTTAAACACTTATAACCTAATAGGTACTTTATGCTTTCCTTCAAGAATTGTTAATAACTCTGCTACCTTAATTGACAATTATTTATTGATAATAGAAGAAGTTACACCATAAAATCATGTATAAATGGATTGTCGGATCATGATCACATTCCACTTTCTTTAACCCTGGCTGAAAAACTTCCAGTACTCACTGGGTGGGAAGCTCAATGAGCTCAGAGTGATGTGATGTAGTGGTGAAGAGAGAAATCCCTCTGTGTGTTTGAGAAACAGAACCCCACTCTTCCAGCACACTGAGACATGGTTGATATGCAGATGGGTGGATGGAAACCTGTGTTCATTCTTTGGTTGGTGCCAGAAAGATGTCTGTATTTAGTTACTAAATGGGAACAGAGAAGTCAGAATGTTACTAGCTGTAAAATAGTTTTTCCCTCCACAGATGTGGTATGTGTAGCCCAGTGTGAACCACCATATATTAAGCTAGTGACCAGTAATGGCCCATGAACCAGTAGTTGAGCAACACTGCCATGCAGCAATTAGTGTGAGGTATGTAGGAGATAGTAACAGTGTGTGAGTGGTTATTAAATTTAATTTATGAGGATAAAGGAAGAAGAGTGTCTCCTGTTTTATTTTGATATTTTTTAAGAAAACTAGTTCAGGTTATCAGCCTTGAATGTGAATGAGACATTCTTTAGTAGTAATGTGTGTACCAGTCTGTGAATGAGCCACGTATCTCAGTCATTATTGTGACTAGGCTGTAGGGTGTGTAACAGAATTAGCATTTGATTCCTGATGGACCAGAGACTTTTCTCTTCACCACCATATCCAGAGCAGCTCTGGGGCCACCCAGCCTCCTATCCAGTGCATACTGGGATGTCTTGCTTTAGATGTAGAACTTCCAAGGTAGGACACTAACCACTCACCTATATGTGATGCTGAGGTTAAGAAAGACTGGGGCTGTACCTATAGAAGACCGAGGCTTGTGGGCTGCAGCACCAGTCCTTTATCTTTACTAGTATAGGGGCCCTAATGAAACACACAAAAATGTAATAAAACAGACATGCTTGAATTATTGAAATCGATTAGTTTTCAAATTATTGGTAATTGGTGCTTTAG